TATTTTATCTGATTTTTCCTTTATTTTGTTTTCCAATAGTCTCTGTATCGTTTAATAATATAAATACTGTTTTATATTCTTATTATTAAACGACACCTTAGTATATTTTTGTCAATGCAAAGTGCGTAGTAAAATAACAGTACTCTCATAAAAGATTACTAATACTTCAAATTCTTCTACTTTCTTATATTTTCCATATTTCTCTCTTTATTTATGTTTGTTAATACACAATAATATCTATCATTAATACAATCATTAAAACATGAATATTTACGTTAGGAAATTAATAAAAAATACAGAAAGTAGTCATTTCCATCATTGAATGAAGTTAACAGAGCAATTGTGAAATACTCGAAAATGAACGTTGCACGGTGTGGGCATATTGGAAATCTAGTATTTCTCTTTGAGCATGGACATGGTGGCCAGGAAGTTCGACTGGTTTTATTTGTTTCGCGCCTGATATGTATTCACTGGAATCGTAATTAAAATTTCTATATAGACGTTTCCCATGCAGGCTTTATATAGGCTAACCGTTAGGTGAATATTGAATTACATTTTCCATGTGGGTCTATCCTCGCTCGTATCGCTGTCTGCCTGTCTACATTATAGTAGGGGTTGGTACACCGGCGCGGTGGCCACAATAGTTGTCCACCCCGCTTCAAATCACTTCAGGCTCATAACATTTTAGTGGTTGGTCCGAGGCCGGATAGTTAGGCCAGCACTACACGGACGTTTTACATGCGGCGTGTTACACGTCGACTGAAGTAAGAACTGTTGTATTTCAATGCAACTGATTATATAAGCGCGGACCATATCGAGGATTTCACTTTTTCCTGGTTTTCTTTCCTGTTTTATTTAAGCAATTGCAATCTTTATTGAGATAATAATATGTGGTTAATGTAGATTTCTTAATATAATTACATTATTGTAATATATATTTCAATCTATTAAATCGTAAAGTCTCGTAGAAGTAGAATTTATATAGCTATTGTTGGGTTATAATGATGGATTACAACTTTTGAAAAATAAATTGTATTAATGCGTAGAATTGTAATACAAGACAATAATTTAATTACTTTTTTCTTATTTTTAACATTACAGGACAGGGAAGCCCTGTATGTTAAACTGCACAACGCGTAAAACATCCATTATCTGAAATGATAAGGAGACAAATCTGTTCTAATAATCCATTTTTTGGATAATTGAACAAGAAGAACCGAATGTGCAAATATATGATGAAACAAGTAATATTGTTCCAAAATATAAACGTTGTTACATAGTCTTGATACATGGACTCATTGCACAGTTTCTCATCAAAAAATTAGGGTCACCATTTTAAGCACTACACTTTCCATGGTATCATTAGCTTATTGGTACCATCCTTTACACTATTTGCCTTGAAACAGCCACATTTCTCAATTTGTAATTGGGAAAGGTTAACATGTTTGAGAAAATCAGCAATGAAAGTTTTTTGCTTCTTTGATATGTTTTGTTGCTTCCTCATATTAATTTTTTATAACTCAGGCTTAATTTCTTTGCTGAACTCTTGGTCTTAACCTCTTGTATTGGAAATGAATTCAGTTTGACAAAGTTTTGCACGAAGAATTTTGTTTTTATCTATTTTAGGCAGATATGTAGTCTAATTTTGTTTATCAATGATGTTGTATAGAGTGGTACATTTGAAAAGAATATAGAACGTATGTGTAATGCAACAAGACTATCAATGTGTATGAGACGTCATTGACAATTTTGGAGCAAAAACATTTCGACGTGTGTGGTACATCTTTCCAATGAAAGAGATGAATTGTTTGATGATTCACGCACGTCTGCACCGTTTCAATACGATTCAATCTTACTATATTTTCGAATATTCAAACAGTACATTAGCTCAAGCACTTATCTCTTGTTCCCAATGCTCTAGCATAATTCACTCTATTCTCAACTGCTCGTCATGCACGGGAATTCTGCTAGACGGACAATGGTAATTGTTACAATACATAATAATAATTTCAATTCTACGATCACTACTTTTCTACGTTTTTGATTATGGACTGCATATTTCGATAACGGGTATTCTGACGATCGACGTTCTACTGTTACCCATTTTTACTAACAATAAATTGAATTTTACGACGTGTAACACGCAACCTATGAAACGCTCGTAAAACGCCCATTCGGTAAAGATTTCATTTCAGTGGAAAACACGTGACGTGTAGAACATAAGATACAATTAATTATAAAATGTTATCCAAAATTGATAATTCTTTGAAGAGTGCATACATTGAAGATTAATACGTTGACCGCCGCGGTGGTCAGTGATGAAGCGTCCAAATTACTTGAAAAAAATTACAAGACGAAAATTGATGTCATAACAAATTATTTAGTCACATAGATAGCTAAATAATAATGTAACTTCAGAGCTATGATATCAAATCATTGCTAATTAATTTTAATACCATTTACGTTTGTTATGATATGATAAATACGAAACATTTTAAATTCTCGAGGTGGTCAACGTGTTAATAGGAGTTCTTACATTGTTATATGATGTAAAACGTTCCTTTTCAGCAAATAAATTAATTGCAAAATCGTTTCATAGATAAGAGTCAGCATGTTACGAATAATAATATAGGAAAGATTATAGTGGTATATAATAAATTATATTGCAACATATAAAATAAAAAGACGATTAACCTCTTGAATGAAAATGACGAGCCTCGCTCACGCGTGGTCTTCGTGCGTACCTTGACTTTGTAAATTGTTTTATAACTCTGCCGTATCGTAACCAAAATAATTTTGTTATTTTCATAAATAAATTTCGTTGAACCAGTAATGCTTCAGCTTTCTTTATAATGATTATGTCCATAAAGTTGCTACGAAATTAAACTGCGTAATATTTGAGTCTAAATAAATTGTAAGGCAAAAAGTAACCGATGATACACAGCTAATTAATAACACTGAAATAAATCAATGTTAGTAAGTAAATTGTTTAGCAGATTATTTATTGACAGTTATCTATAATTAGCATCTGAAGCTAAAAAACTAGACACGTAACAAAAGAATGCATTTCAATAGCATTTCTGTAAACATTGTTATTACAGTCTATGATTACACATAGAAACATAATTCGAGGTAAATGTGTTAATTTTAATTCCAGCACTTGAATTATTTCCACTATTATTGAAAGTAAGAAAAAATTGAATAAACAGAATGTTTAAATAGGATTTTTTTATCATCATCTTATCACCATCGCCTTAAAACCATGTACATCCTATTTTACATACTATTACATACTATTACATACTATTATTATAATACATACTATTAGATACTATTATTATAGTATGTACGTAGTACATAGATTTAGTCAATTTTCTTTTAGTTTCAATAAAAGTGGAAATAATTAAGGGTGCTCGAATTAAAATTAATACACTGTATATATTTTTTAGGCATCTTTGCATAGTGTAACATGTGTTTGGCATATTTCAATATTTAAGAGAAGTTAAAACGCCTGTATGTTCCTGGGCTTATTCTAACTGTTGCGCTGCGTTCGGTAACTGCCTTATCACTCACCATATAGATCATCATACGTAGCAACCTCCACACCCCTGGCATCCTGGAGGTCCCAGCCTCTCACGATGAGATACGCTTCTCTGGAAAGACAAACGTTCGACGTTAGAATCCGTTCGAATTGTCTAAGTGTATAGAAGCCGGCTGAGCTGCTGGCAGGAACTTCGCAGCCGGATCTATTTTAATTTATCCGACCAGCATGGTCTAGCGAGCAAATTAACTGAACACCGTCCGCCAGGTCGCGGTTCGAATCCCAAGGAGGTCTCAGCGCAAAATTGATTTGCTGAGAGAAATCATGGTTATGGGGTTTCGAGTGTACGCGTGCCCGATCCATTCCGTGGAATCAGGATACTCGACGGTCGCGCTCGAGATCGGTTAAATATGAACGATCGAGATTATTATCGGGCTACGAATGTACGTACAAATGTGCAGTTTTGGAAAAAATTATTAAATGACAGGGACAGCAACATGTTTTATATTGTTAGAATATTTTTTAAATATATGTTTTATCTTGTATGATTTGTGTACTTATATGGGCAACTGGCTATCTACTATTGGCTGTTATAGCGGTAGTGAAAGCGATTGACACGCAATGAAATACGCAATGGAAAAGTGAAGATAAAGGATGGGCTGGTTTCATTAAACAATGTTAATTATGAAATGTTATTCAAAGTTAGTAATGTTTTGAAGAGTGCACATATTCAAGGTCAGTAAGGGGTTTTTACAGAATTATGTGATGTATCTTTTCCAGTATATAATTTAATTGTGAAATTATTCAGTATATAAGAGTTGTCAAATTATGGTTAATAATATGACAAAATTATAGTAATATATTGTAAGTTACATTTACAAAACATTTATATGTCCATGAACATCCATAGTCTAATTATTTGTTATTATCGGAGCATTTGCAGTTAACTTGGATTGAATTAATCGATGAAATAATTTCAGCCATTTCTAATAATTATGTTAAATATTATACGTGGTTGTGATTTTTTAAAAATCATTAAATTCTTTATATTGATCTCCTATTTTTCAATTTACTTTGAAGTAAGAAAACCAATTAAAAATTTCGTAATTTAAGACATAATCTAATAACTATAAAATTTTATATGTTATAATGTTTAATGCTTCGAAACTTCCAGGATAATTTTTATAAATTTCAATTGTTAAATAATAAATGAGATCAAAGCTAATGAAAAATGTCTATATTAAATAATTAAATGTATATTTATTATCGGAGATCCTTCGAAATTTCTAGAGATTTAAATAAAAAACTTATTTCCAAAACAGAAAATAATAGCCCTGTATGGGCTGAATCTTTTTTCGTGACTATAACAAAATTTATGCAGTATGACATTAACAAATATCATCCTATGCATACAAACGAACAATTTATTCAATAGTCTTAATAATTTTATTAAAACGAATATATTTTGTAATTTTGAAGTTTCAATGCCGTTGAACGTTTACGCTTGCGTGTATACAAATTTAAATCTATTATTTAATTTCATTCGTCATTTTGCTGTACAAAATTAAATAAATCAATTTAACTAATTAACAATTTTACAATTAACATTAACAACTTATTAATGTGTAACTTCAAAGCCACACGGGTCTATAGAGGCTTAAGAAAAGTTGAGTATAAAATGATCACGACAAACATACTTATATTCAACTTAAATTTTATATAAAACACTCAGAAACTCAGTCATTATCTAATTACTGAGTGCCACTTGCAAAGCCCAAATGAAATCTTCTGCTACAACATTGTTCATCGTCGAACTTTTTGCGCTTATCAATATCCAATCATCTCATATATGCTTATACCACTCAGTGATAACCATCTCCGTAGTAAATCTCCAATTCATTGTATTTAACACGTTGCACGCCGTATGCAGTCCTTCCGCATGCTATTATTAGTTTAGAATGATTTATAGCTTCAATAAATCTATTAAATCGTGTACAACATAACCGCAAAAACAAACAAGACAACCAATATATAATAAATAAGATAAATGACCTTCGAGCAACAACCATCATGCATATTTCGCACTGGCTATTCCTATCCATGATTATCATTGACCCACCGATGATTATCATCCAGCTATTACGTCGACTTATCTCGCGAGATACATAGAGCGTTGATCGTTGTCCTCATTTGACGAGGAACAGCAGATTTACATTACAAGACTTCCCTTATAAAGGAAGAGAAAATTACGAGCAACTCATTTTATAGTATAACCTACTTGCCAACGACACTTTGTTGATTGAAACATATTCGAAACGCAGTTGCTAATGGACCGATAAGCGGTCTACTGGTCCGTTCGGTTCCTAGTATCTCTAGGCGTCTTTGTAACAATATTTTCACGTAGAATAAATCAGCGAGCGACGATCGAGACCGGTAAACCGATGCAACAATATCTGGTCCAACGATCCGTATCGGGCACCAGGCACGAATAAACGAACGATAGGAATGTATAATTACACGGGAGACCGAACGTTTGCTTTTGCTCGCATCTTATTACACGCCGACGAATATGCGAAAGCAATCGTACTACATTGAACTAGTATCCGAGTAACAGGAATGCTCGGTTGGCCGTTGCGCTGATCGATTCGGAGTTTCAATTTCGTAATACAGGAAAATGAATCACGAGCAATTGATAGTCAGCGTTAACGGGGGATGTAAAACGATAAACCGGATAAAAATAAAGCAACGATCGCGCGGCTGGATTGAAACCTGTTCCCTGTAACCATTCATAAAGCTACGGCTCGTTTCGCGGTTAAGTATTTATTAGTTACTTAAGCTGATAGGTCCTTCGACAGACGCGCATTCGGCGGTGAAGATCAATCGGTCAGCGTCTAATGGGCCACAGCTGTTTATGAATTCACGATTAGTTTTACGACTATCGCGAGCATCGCGGTATTACGCTTTAATAATCGCCTCGCGGAATCGCTTCTAGCGTGGTTCACGATGCCAATGTTCGCAGTTTCTTCGATTCACAACGTTTGATCTTTCGACGGATTAACCGAATCGGTCGGTCGATCTGTCGGTTGACAGCAATCCGCTTACAACCTTGTTTTCGTAATGATCGGATTGACGCGACGACGCGATTGCTTTGAGCGATTTATTCTGCTTTCATCTCTATTCGGTATTCGAGTTGATGATTCCCATTGATCGTTTAACGATGAACTATGAACGGTCTTTTATGCGTAGTCTTGTCTAGCTTTATGTGGACGTCTGTTTAATCCCCTTTATGGCGACTTGAAATTTTCGACGTTTTTACGGTTTTTTAAGGATTTACGTGAATTCAGGAAATTCACGGAGGTACAGGATTCTGTGTAGAATGTTGCTTGTATTACCTGTTTATTTTAGTAAGTAATTTATGTGTGTTTAACTTGTTTATATATTTGTTGTAAATGAAGAGAAAGAGGAAACTTTTGGAAATTAATTTTAGAAGAAATCGAGTTATTTTTGTTGTTCTTGGTAATAATGTTACTCAGGAAATACGAGGAATATTTTATTCTATTATTTTATAGAGACCATTGCAAGATTAAAATACTTTGAAGAGTTTGAAATGTGGGAAAAGACAATAAATAATACAAATTATTTTGAAAAGTGACAAGAAACTTATAAAGGATATGTAACAAAAAAAGAACAAGAAATTATTACGCTAATTTGTAAAAATTTATCAGTAGTTAACATTTGGAACAATCTTTAAGCATGAGTACACAAAATTATAATGAAAGTGTCAATGACCTATTACGGTACTTTGCATCAAGAAATTTATATTACGGTGTTAAAACTATTGAAATTGTTAATTATTCGCTAATTGCAATTTGTAATGGAGGATATTTCGCTACGCTTAAAATACTCGAAACAATAGAACTAGTAATTGGACCAATTGTTTCAAGTTTTATCGCCGAACTAAACGCTAAAAGAACAATAAGTGCCAAGAAAGAAAACAGGAATAATCAAGAAAGGAGGCAAGAATTATTAGGAGAAGAACTAGTACATTTTAAAACGTTCTTTACGAGTACAAGGAAGCACGCATGTCTCGGCAATAGTTGATTAGTTGTAGATACTTAGTATTAAACGTGTTTTTCCCAAAATAACATTCTTATAATTCTTTCGATACGAGATCTCAAGGACTGATCACTTAAATTATTTGAATTTTGTATATTTCAGTAGAGATCCTTTCATCGTTAGTATTATAATTAAGTCAATATTTACAAAATATTAATTTTGTGGCTTATCAGGTTTTCTTTTAGATAGAAAATCTTTTTGATATTTTAATTTTATATATATAAAACCCTTCTGAAAAAGATATTAAATATTTTTGAAATACACCTGAATGAATTTTCCAAAGTAAATATTAACCATCTCCGGTCGAATGTCGCCATAACGGCAACTTCGAGCTTCGATATCTAAAACAAAAAACTGTAAATTTATAATATAATTATTCAACTAACGAGAGACTGACCTGTGGCTTTTTACTTTTAGTATTTAAGATTTCGGTACCTAATTTAGTTTTTTATGAAAAGAAATGTTAGAAGTTTAAGACAGGCTTGTTGGCACAGAGTTAATAGAAAATTATCAACCGTTAAGGATTAATACATTTAATAATTTTCTAACACTAGCTTCACATATTTATTGTATTGTTCTTAGAAAAATAAATGTTTACCCACACAGCTCTTGGCAATGACAGCTCTGAAAGCAGAGTATTAAAATACATATCACTATCGTTGCATCAATCAAAACCAACATAAACTTTTACGAAATTTAATATCGTCAAATTGACAGATACAATACATTTAGCATTAAAGAAGTTCTAGAATTCAATTTTTTTTTTATTTTCATAGTAGAAAGGGTTTTCAGGTAGTATACCTGATAATCTATCACATCTTATTTCCTTCCTCTTTGTTACAGGCAAAATGAAGTTCTCGTGTATTACAATTTTTTTGGCAGTATTTAATCCTAGCCGGGGCAATGTTTTTGTCAAACTCCGAGAATTCAGTGGACTGTATTCTTTAGAAACACGATCACCGATCCAAACGAACTGACCGCAACCTCGACTTCCTC